TTTGCTTGTACTAAGTTTATTCCGAAGTTTAACTTTATACCGCGTTTATTTGTAAGGCTGTAATAGTTGGCAGCCCTACATTTAATAGAACTGAAAGTGCTTTTCTTACCAGACAACTTTTTCTACACATAGTATCTTGTTCGCGGTAAAAAGATCTTGTTTTAACAACATATAAGATTTTTTATGCGTTTTTAAAAAGTGTTTATCTTCAATGTGCATTGCTGAAACAAAATTCTACCTCAAGATAGAACTAGCGCTAGCTAATTATATAAATTAAAAAAATATTAAACATTATTATAAATATTAAACTACACTTTAAAAGGATTACTTGTAAAATTATTAATTACCTCCTCTGGTAAGTATCTTACTATATTATAAATGCGAAAGTTTAGATGGATGGGTGTTAGAGTTCGTAGCTGAAACGGAATGGATCTTGATGAAATTCGGCATAGACGGAGAGGGTGGTCTGGAAGAAAACACAGGCAACTCACTTTTGTTTTTTTTTAATTCCACGCGGACGAAGTCGCGGAGGAAGCTGGTTCTTCATAAAGTTATCGATAGCGACATTGGTTCTTTATATTAGGTAGGATACTGGCCTGTTTTTTTCTACATCAACTTCGATCACCAATAACAAATAAAAAAAAAACAAATGAATACTTCTAAATCTGGGTTCCCATGGTGGATTCAGTTATCTAGAATTGTAAATAATAATCGTTATCAACTTACTCTTATCCCTACGGCGGGTCGGCACAGTATGTGCTGCTCTTCCATACATTTCTAACAGTCGTCATATCTGAATCCACTCACTTCTTAAGCATGTCATCTTTCACACAATCCATCCACATTTTATTTGGTCTTCCTCTACGTCTGTAGCCATACACATTCAATCTTAATACTTTCTGGTTTATGACCCCATCGTCTCGTCGCATAACATGTCCATACCATGCTAACCTTTTGATTCTCAATTTCTTCCACCACTGGCGCTACTAGAATCTATCTACACATATAATAAAATTGGAGTGTCTGGAATATCAAAGGAAAAATTCCAGATTTCGGGAAGATGATGTATTTGCGAAGCTGATAACGAAAATCGCATTTAAAAATTTTGTCTCCCTGTCTGTTTGTCCGCAAGCCGCGATTGTTCCGGCTGAAACGGCTGGGCCGATTTTGACTGGACTTTCACTGAAGGGTAGCTGACATGGAGGGGCATATTATAAGCTACTTTTTCAAAATTCCCCGCTGTCAAAATGGCGACCGGACCGCTATCTCTGGAACGGGTGGACCGATTTGGACGGGACTTTGACGGAAAGATAGCTGGTAGAAGGATGCAGGCGGGAATGTTAGTTGACTTTTTTTAAACGCGCGCTAACGAAATTTGCGGGCGACAGCTCGTTGTAATAATATTTCAATTAATATTATTCGGGGGATTTACGTTGACACTAACTTTGACACTCACTGTGTAAGTACGCAATACTAGAAGTACTAGTAGCCACTTGAACACTAGATAAGTAACAATTGACAGTCTTGTTTTAATATCAGTAGCGGCGATAAGATGCCGGATTGTAATTTTTAATTAAGCTTTGTATGTCAATGTTGTGTGTCTTGATCACAATAGATGTGCGTGCGCATGAACACTATCACATTATGTATACCTATTTCATATATTCTTCAATCTACTAATATTTTAACGTAAGATTTGTATTTTTGTATGTATTGTAATAACTCAAAAACTACTGGGCCGATTTTAAAAATTCAATCACCGTTAGAAAGGTAATATATATTACTATATTTATTTTATTTCAAGCGAATGGAGTCGCGAGCAACGACTAGTCTATACTAATATTATAAAGAGAAAAAGATTGTATTTTTTTTGTATTGAAATAACTCAAAAACTACTGGGCCGATTTTAAAAATTCTTTCACCGATAGAAAGGTAATTCATCTGTGAGTAACATAGGCTATATATTTTTTAATTTCTTGCGGATGAAGACGCAAGCAACAGCTAGTATGAAATTCAAGTAAACTGTTTACGTCATTATGTGATGATTATAAGAAGTACATAATACATAAATCAAAGAATCATATTTATTCGTATTATTTAAATGGTAAAAAGTAGAGTTCGGAGGATATAAAGCTTTTTGTAAGAAAATTGATATGTCACTTTTATTTATAAGAGAAGGGGCAAAAGAACGATGAGTACACCAAGGCAATCCGTAATATCAGGGAATCTGCAGATGCATTGCTGGCCTTTGAGAATACATGCCTTTTTATTTTACACTTTAAGAATGAATATAAATTTACTACTACATGTAGTAAATTTACTTACTGTAAAGTTAAAGTTTACAAATTCACTGTTACATAACTCGCTACTAGAATTAGACAAACATGACCCGTTAAAATTGTATTTATTAAGTAAATATTTTGTCGGCCATGTGCAAACTTCTCTAATATAGTATTAATTGTATTTTGAAGTGATTTTGAGTAGTATTCAAACTGTAAAGTGTGTCATCTCACAGATAAATAACCTTAAAGTGGCCACTTCAAATTTTAGACGTTATAAAAGGGCTACCATTCCATTCTAATCGGTATAACGTAAGAAATAATTCCTTTATATTATCATTTAATAATAATAGTGTTTGTAATAATAAAATCATAACAATGCTTAGATTATCGTTGTTTTTTCTAATATGTTTAACATGTGGTATTCAAGGTATGTTCTCTTTTGATTTATAAATACGAATATTCTATTTTCTATTCTATTTCTTGTTTATGACTCTCTCACAGCGGATTTGGCCAGTGTCAAGTGTTTAAATACGAATATACGTAGATTAATTATAATTGAACTGTTCATTAACTTCAAAATACAAAAGCAAGAAGACTTTAAACAAAACCGTCTAAATATATCTTCTCAAACATATTCTCCATTACAAAATTCATGTTTTCAATTTTAATTTACTAGGTTACATATTACCCGTAAGTGACTTTTCTGATCCTTTTAAAATCCCACGAATCGTTGGCGGTGAGAATGCTCCAGAAGGTGGTATACCTTACCAGGCATCTTTAAGAAGTAATTACAATTCTCACTTTTGTGGTGGATCCATTATTAGCGAAAGATGGATACTCACAGCTGCTCATTGTACTGTTGGGTAAGTCGTTTAATGGTATAACCTTATTTTTCTTACTTCATCTGATAGCAGATGCTTCATGTTTTGATGGGTCTTGTTTTATAGACCGAAAAATTCTTATTGTAAAGTTAGGAACAAATTGCGTTTTAAATTTATTATTAACTTTGGCATTAGTGTCTTTCAGATTTCTAGAATGTTTTAGACTAGTCTTTTGTGCGTTTATTTTGTTGTACTCTTATTACAGAAAATCCAATCGTACAATGATAGTAGTAGTTGGCACTAACAGTCTACTAGCTGGTGGTGATCATTACAACGTGGAAAAGATAATAGTTCACGAGCAGTACAACGGGAATCTAATATACAACGACGTTAGTGTTGTCAAAGTTGCCAATGACATTGAATTCGGAGACCGCGTTCAACCAATACATATAGCTGATAGTGATACTAGTG